TTTTAAGCTCTTGCCAGCTGGAGAAACGATTACTGCCAACAAGTATTGTCAGTTGGTCGAATTGAAGAAAGCAATTGATGAAAAACGTCCGATTTTGGCCAATCGCAAAGGAGTTCTTTTCCATTATGACAACGCCAGGCCACATGTTGCAAAACCGACCCTGTCCAAACTGAAGGAGATGAATTGAGAAATCATGCCGCATCCCCCATATTCACCCGACATTGCACCTTCTGATTATCATTTGTTTCGATCGCTGCAGAACAATTTGAATGGAAAAAAATTTAAAAATGTGGAAGACGTCAAAAACCACCTTGACACCTTTTTCAACGAGAAACCGCGCGATTTCTATGAATCAGACATCCGTAAATTGGTTGAACGTTGGGAGAGGATTGCCGAACATGATGACGAATACATAATTGATTAATAAAAGCGCTTTCTTCAAAAAATTTCAATTTTAGTTTGCACTTGAAATCGGGCACGAACTTATGCACTCATCTAATATCTATGTCTGCGGTGTTTAAAAGTGTGAAAATATTTAATATACATATAAAAGGCGTTTAAAAAAGCTATTAGACAAATTCCGAAAAAGTCCGAAAATTCACATATGATACAAGGTGTTTTTTAATTAAAAAATTAAAATCCTTATAATTAAAAGTTTTGACCAAGAACAAGAGACCATCTTGACTGGCTCGAATGTATTCTAGCCGAGGCGGACACTTTGCGACCACTTTTTACAGCTATTGGGACCGTATATCAGCAATTATGCGCCGAATATTCTCATCTCGGACTTATATGCATTGACTATTGACTTTACAGAACACCACAAAAGTAAGTCCAGCTTAATTAAATCGTACGATTTTAGAGGCCTCAGTCACACGTAGAAAGATAATAACCGTAGCAAAAGTTTCCTTCAATAAAATGATTCCTTCGTTGGCTGTATGGCATACCGTCCACATCAACATTATCCAATTCAGGCACAAAAAAGTAATAAATGGCTCTAAAGTAATCCTTATAGTCTTAACTATAGTTGGCATATTGATTTTCTAAGAAATAGAATTGGTGAAAATCCGGATCAGCGGCGTTCTCGTTTTGATCCAAGTATGCTTTCGCGAAACTTTCCATAAAGTCAATGTTCACAGCTGAAGCGCATTATCCACTTGAATAAATGTGCTGTGAAATCATGGTCAGCGAGCCGAAGTTATGACCGTCCACAGTGTCTGTTTTCCCCTGCACTTCAATTCGATATACCTTGTCACATCAGCTCAAGGTACTACAGACAATCATATTTTCGTTTGGGAATGTTTCGCCAAAAATACCTTTTTTTCCCAACCTGGCATTACATAAAGTCGCCACATGCAAATTTGACATTGTTGCGCGGGCAGTGCTCATAGGCGCAATCTAAGTGGCTTTCATAGAAAGCATGCTTGGTTATAACCGTCGTGGCATGGGCACAAATCAGTGGCATGTTAAACAAGCTTTTTCGAGAGATCGCCAGTCAGCACCAAATTTGCGCTCTTTTATATGGCCGCAGTTGTAAATTTCATGAGGACTCAACTGTTTCTGTTCTTGTGGCGGAAATCGCACTTCTTGGGCAACGGTGATGTGATGCTTTTAAACTTACTAAAACATCAGCTAGCTGCGCAGTGGCACCCTTCCCAAAAAATTACCGGGCCTTCCAAGTCCATGACCTCAAATTGTTATTCTTAAAAAAAATGTTCGGTGGTCGTCATCCCATCCCAGATCTTGCCTTATTTTACATAGAAGTAAATCTTTTCATGATGGATCCCAAATCCGACGTAGATATAACCGCAAGGGCATTCGCCTTCTCAATTTAGCTCACCTCCAAACCAATATTTGTTGGTTACCTGAAGTGCAAGAAAAAATATTGTCTCATTGAAAACCACATGTCTAAACAAAACACCCTTTGTAAAGCCTTGTAATCTCAAATTTTTTTTCTTATTATTAATCCACTTGAACTGCCCAAACATTTGGCGTCGTTGGCAATTAGTTCATTAACTCCCCGCCACTCAGGGTGTTCTTGCGGTTGCTCAACGTTTTCTGTCTAGTCAATTGTTGTTAGCTTTTGTCCTCATTTGTTTTTGGTTTTATAAATTTGCTACATTTTGCTAATTGATTTCGTTGTTTGTTTTTGCGCTCAATGGAGCAGATGCCCCAGAAGCAACGTTTGTTAATAAAAAATATATATATAAATACATACATACATATATAATGAAGAAGTTTTTCTATGCTTACTTTTCAACTTACAAACGGATCTGCGCAATTTTTTTTGTTTACAGCATAAACGATCGATAAATATCGCATCTTTAATTCATGCCAGTGAAGAGATTCTATGCGCAACCTCAGTGGTCTGTATGCACGTGTAACTGTATGAGTGTGTGTGTGTGTGTGTGCTAATTTATAGCTTTACATATTTGTTTGCTTCACGCATGGATCATTTATCTGTTTTCTGATTTTGTTTTTCCTTTTTTGTATATATGTACATACATATGTATGTACATACTCTTACCTTATTAGGCTGAATAAGTTTTTATTTTGGGCATTGATAGACATTCCTGAAGGTGTGGCCTTGTTTATGAAAACTTAATAAATTGTTCACCAAATTTTGGGTCTCTAGTTTTAGTCTTCATCTTTTATTTATACAAGTAGATATATGTATGTATGTACATGAACATCCTAATGAATTTTGTTTACCATTTTCCCTTCAGAATAATTTTGAGAAAGAAAATCGAAAACCGCCGATTAAAATAAATATTTTTCTTCGCAATTAGCGTAGGCAACGCTTACGTAATCATGGACGATTTAAGAAAAATGCGCCACTTCTTCTTTTCGCTATAGGTCACCGAATGGATATACCAAATCCATACAGCCAGGTCCCTCTCTTCCTGGTCGTTCCGACAGAGTGAAGGTCTTCCTCTTCCTCCGCTTTCACCGGTTGGTAATGCATCGTCCAAACGTCCAAAGCTGGTGTATTCTTATTCATACGGACCACATGACCTGACCAGCATAGCCACAGCTTCTTATTTTGCTGAACTATATCAATGTTGCCGTATAACTCGTACAGCTCATTGTTCCATTGTCTGCAATATTCGCCGTTTCCTATGCGCAAAGTACCATAAATCTAACGCAAACTCTTAACGCCAACTCTTCAGATGTTGCCATCATGCATGCTTCTGCGCCAGGACACGAACGATGAGGGACTTGTGGAGTTTGGTCTACGTTCGTCGAGAGAGAATTTTACTTCTCAATTGCCTACTTAGTCCAAAGTAGCATCTGTTGGCAACAGCGATTCTGCGTCGGATTTTCGGACTGACAATGTTGTTGGTGTTAATGCTGGATTCGAGATAGATGACGTAACGTAGGAGCCGGTTCGCTAATGCGACGACTGTTTGTTTGATAACAGGAAATATTTCGTCTTGCCCTCATTCACTAACAGACCCATTTGCTTCGCTTCTTTATCGAGTCTGGAGAAAGCAGAACTAACGGCGCGGTTGTTGAGACCGACTCCAGTAGCAGTACACTCTTATCGAAGATTATACCTTCTCTATTGAGCTCTGCAGCTCGTATTATTTTCTTCAGCAATAAATTAAAGAAGTCACACGATAAGAAATAATCTTTTCTGAAATTTTGTTGGGTATAGAACGGTTCGGAGAGGTCCTTTCCGACATTGAAGAAACCTTTGGCGTTGCTTAACCAAATTCAGAGGTGTAGAGGCAGCTACTTTTCGTACTATCAAAGACTGCTTTAAAATCGACGAAAAAGTGGTGTATGTCGATCTTTTTTTCACGGCTATTTTCCAAGGTGTGGCGTATGGTGAGTATCTGAAACACTGATAAGGTCTAACCAGTTGGTTGACGTTGGGCTTTAATAACAACACTCTCGATTCGATATTGAAGAGACTTCTTCTTTTTTTGCACAGTCGGGTCGGTCGGGTACGCATTGATTCAACTGAATTCTGTAAAGAAGCCGATGCATGCTTCATGTCAGATCTTTGCCGGTATAATTATATAGCGGAGTTGGTAAGCCAAATCGGCTCAATGCTCTTTGTTATTATTCATGCTGGCAATTGCTGTTCGGACATCTTCACAGCCGGTTAGAGGCACGTCATCATTTGGGAAATCAGGTTGGTCATGGTATTTGATTTTGCCTGACAGTCAGCAAGCGCTCTTTTAGTCGCCACTTATTTTTATACAATTCTTGAGTCTTGTCCTTGTTGACCTGTTTCCCCAACTTTTCATACTCATTTTGCATTTCGACTTCTCTCTTTTTGTCGATAAATGAGTCTCGCTAGCCTATTCTACTTGCGGTATATCCCCAAAACATCGCGAGTAGTGGAGTAGCCAGCCATTTGTTTTTGTAGCTGTGGTACGTAGAGAGCTCGAAATATCGTCGTTGTGGTAGCGGCGAACCTTACTTGTGTTTTCTGACGGACCTTCTATGCAGCACCGAGACGTTTACTGCACATCGCGTATACGTAACCAAACCAATCTTACAAATAAAAGTAGATCCATGGCTAAATCCATAAAAATTAAGAGAATGTGTAAGCCGAAGGCTTAATACTGTGTACTACTAAGTGAAGGATGCCAGACCAACATCCAAAAATCTTTTTATTTGCGGTCGTCCTTCGGCAGGAATGTAGCTCCTCCGATTGTCTTTCTGACTGATATAAGAAGTTTCTCATTCGAAAACCAAAAGCTTCACATTTACCTCACACTAACTCAGTTGTTTTTGTATTAAAAAAATTAAAAATTCTTCACCACATTGAGAAGTATATTTTTTTTAATTAACGAACTTTCCGAAGCAATTCCGTACTCGGTAATTTTTGAGCTGTGTTCAACTGTCGATAAACTTAAAAAAAGTGTATGAGGAAATGTAATGTTATTTATCGATAAAAATAAAGCAAACTTCACACAAAATTATTTTTGTAATAGCCTGTTTACAATACTATGTTGACAAACATTTTTCTTTTCTTCCTTTTACAGTTCCAAACATGTCTAAGCCATTGATGAAACACTGCTGCTTCTGCCAGTCTTTACGAAATGGTGCCATTATTTCAGGAATTCTAGCGATCACATTGTCGATCATTACGATTGTCATTAGTTTGACATTACGCGTGGATTTCAATACAATCGATTTTGATTGGCTGCCAAATTATGTTGTTAAAATTATATTAATTATAAATCTATGTATGACAATACTGATATCATTGCTCATGATAATTGGTGTTATAAAGGTAAAATGGAAGATACAAATATTTATTTCTTCATAATCGTCTTAAACAACATATGATTCTTATGTATTGCATTTTTATTTTTTTTTTCTCTTGTCAGCGTAATCATTATTTGATGATGCCATGGGTGGTTTTGGGCATTATGATAGCAATCGGTTTGCTCATATCCGTGATATATACCGCAGTGAAATTCTTCATTGATGACTATGTGCTCACTGGCATACTGTGGCTTGTTTTTGGACTCCTAACAACCGGTAAGTGAAAGAATACCAACACGCAAGGAGCGTTAAAAAAGCTAAATTATAAAAAAAAATATTTATAAAATGTCTTTTGACAAGTGCTTTCCGAAATTATTCAACATTTGTCCAAGAAATACTGGAAAATATCATAACTAAAGTTAAACTTGCTTTAAATGAAATTATAAAACTCTAACTTGTGAACAGGCCATAAGCTCACCTAGTTTTTCGTCCCCAAAAAGTATGCAACAATTTTCAAAATTAACGCAATCGCTGCTAGATAAATACAATTGTTAAATATTTCTTTAATGCGTATGTAAATTCATTACAAAAAGAAAAAAAAATAAATAGAAAAATAGTTTTCATAGCAACCTTTTCAAATTTTTCGAAATTTTTCGAAATTTTATTTAATTATGAATTTAAAAAATAATAATTTTCATTTTCTTTCTCTTCTACAGCGATTCTCACCTACTGTTGGTGCGTTGTGTACAGCGAATATGTGGTTTTGTTGCAGGAGAACGAAAGGGGACGGTACAACAAGCAGCTATATCGCCGCTAAGAAAACAAATTGAAATAAACGACAGCGATTCATCGAAATAAACCATGTTTTGATATTAAAGAAGTAATTCTTTCTTAAATCTTTACAATCTAAATATCCTTAAACTAATTGTACTGGAAAGCATTTGAAAATAGTTTTAATATAGGCACTTGAAAAAGAAAAATCAAAGCAAAATACTCGTCTTCGTTTAATTATATTTATTTTTAATTTAAGTTATTTTTGTTTATCTGTCACAGCAAGTTAACTACTCTTCCTTCACTCTTATACCGCTTTCTCCCTTTATTTACCTTTCTTTGCTCACTCTATGAAAATACTGGAATTAGTGCAAATTTTATTAATAAACTTACTCTCAATATAAATTAATACTATATTCTACATATGTATGTGTATGTTTTATGTTTATGTTATATTTACGAAAAAAAAGAAACAACGTTTTGTTTACTGTTGTGTGATTGTTGTATCGAATAAAAGAAATAAAACAATGTATTTTTAACAAACAATTTGTTTCAGTGGGTTGAATTAATTTATTTCATTATTCTCCTTTTCTCACAATCTCCATATGCGAAAATCATATAACTTTTACGACGAAATTCATCTAAAACTCGAAAAGCCATAAAATGACGCAATGCTCATTCGAAAATAAAAATGAGTGTATGCCCATAAATGTATATACGTGTATGCATGTATAAATTAAATTTGTGTAAAATTAGAAAATTAATTCTTATAATTCATTATGAGCATATTTCGGTTTCAGTTCTTCTATTCTCTTAATAAAATCGGTTTTCTCAATGCAACCATCGCAGCTTTCATCCCAATCGTTAAGAATTTTCTTCAAGTCTCGCACTTTCAGTTTCTTCAGATCGACATTGTTCAAATCAATTTGTTTCTCTGTAAAAAGAAAAAATTTAATATGTTTTCATTAATTCTTGTAAAAAATGAATTTAATCGAATGTAAAACATTTGTAGCGACAGGAATATTGCTATATATGCATATATATTTATGAAGAAATTTCGGGAAAATTATTTTGTTACTGTAAATAATATTAATATTATTAATATTAACTTACCATAACGCAACTCGCAGATTTGCGCATCTTTCTTCTTAAGTTTCTCACAAATCTTATCGGCAGGCATGGACCAACTCAGTGGTTTGCTTAGCTCATTTAGAATACCAGTAGCTGACTCTTCCAGACCACCCAAGTAGTAACACTAGACACATAAAGGTAGAAAAACGAATTACATATTACAAAACTCATTTCGTTAATAGTTTCCAAACATACGAATCTGTGTTCCTTGTTTTTTTGTTTTTTACAGAAACTCTTGAATTCGTCTTCAATTTTCTTGTGATCTTTTTTTGTGTCCTGATCCAAAGTATCGGCGAAACGCTTAACCGTCTTTATACAAACTGAAAATATACACTAGCCTTAGTATATACATATGTATGAATACAAATTCAACCCAGCAGATTTACCCAAACACCCATCAACCTACCTTCACAATCTTCTTCTTTCAGTGCTTTGGTGCTTTGTACCAAAACGATTATGAAAGCCACTATCAGTAAATGGACACGCATTTTGATTAAGTACTTTCTGTTCAACGTTTAGTATATGAAATTTCTGGAAAAAAAAAAGTTGTACATATATAATATGTTTAGTTACTGAATATTTGTTTGAACAGCTGCAGAGCAACGATTTCCAAAAATTAGCTTGGAGCGCTACGTGGGTGCCTTTCTCTTTAGACGCGTTTATACGTCCAAGCAAGTATTTAATTCTAGCTTTCATTTCTTTCATTTCTTTCATAATGTACAACAGTAACTAAGCCTTTTTTTGGAGGCGTTGCAGAGTGGAATACAATTTTTTGAAATAATATCCAGCGAAATCTACTTACATTTCGTTTACTTCAGAATTTTACTACTCACTTTATTGTTTACAACTTCATTCACACGAATTACACTACTTTTAAGTTAAGATTATTAAATTTCTTATTGGAAGTTATCGCTCAACCGGTGAAAATGAATAAGTGAGAAATTTTTTGACACTCACTTGTCGCTTTGTCATTGGCTGTTGGTTCCTCTTCACATTTTTTATGATGACGTATAATTATCGAAGTTGGCAGTATCGAAATACAGCTGATTTAAGCCAGGGCTGTTACACATTTTAGTTGCTAAAATATTTCTAAAATCTCGTCAAGTTTTTTTCATTCATATAAAATTTACTTCGCTTTGCTTGACAGATGAAACTCCGATTGAATGACATAAATAAAGTCTTAACAGTTTTAAAAAATTAACCGGTTTTTGGAATTATTGGTGTGGTTTATTTTGTACACATTTTGAAAGCCTAAAAAAATTTAAAATAAATTCCTAATTTCCAGGATGACACTTGTTTGAAGGCAATGGAGGATTATATAATGTTATATGTTAATGTTAAAGATGGTTAGTCAAATTGCTGAATTTTGGTCTTTCTTCTTTTTTTTTTGGATCATTTATGCACAAAACTCTTAGAATAGAATATCTACATAATTGAGACTTCTTATGTTTCTTATGTCAAAGGCAAGTTTTCTATGGCTGCACATGTGAGTCATTAACTACATAAATTCAATTGCTAGTTTCAGAGTTTACACGCCTTCCGAATTTTACGATTCTTTTTTAACCATATTCTCTGTTTGAAGGCGCGGCGGATCTTTTTCAAGTTTGAATTTATATTTTTGCGCAATAAAAAGAAAAATAATTTGTTTTAATTAGACCATCATGTGGTGTAATTTTCAAGAATCCCAAATTGAAGATGTAACAATATCGAATGCATTTTCATCCCGTGAAATTTTTAAGATACATAGTTCAGAAGAGGTATTCAGATTTTTTAAATTGTTTGCATCTGCTGAACGAATTGCTTTATTGCAGGTGAAAGAATATCCTCGCGTCCTTGCATCGCTACAAAACAGAAGAATTGTCATTTCAGTGGATAAGAGTTTGATATTACTTGAAGATGAATTGGCGGCCAAGTGCAGTTTTCTCAGTTTTGAGTCTGAAATAGACGCTATAGCAATCTCAAAAACTGGGAATTTGATTTTGGTCGCCTTGCGAGATGGCGAAATACACGGTGTTTTCATTAAAGGCATTTTATTATTCAATATTGCTGCAAATAATGAAGATATAAATCTAACGGGACGCACTTTTGTAGATATACAAAAGCTGGATAATTGTTTCTATATTAGCTGCACAAATGGAAGTGTCTATCGGTAAATACATAGAAATATAATTTGGTAGGGCTATTTTTGAATCCTACATGCTATTTCATAGCCGAAATGTTTTATAAACTATATAAACACTATTTCATACATCCGTTTTGCTTGCATATGTACATTTTATATATACATGCATATACATATTACTTAATTATAGGCTTAGTGAAATCAATGAAGCGCCACTCGAAGCGAATGAGAATATCTCGCTAAATGAAAACGAAACCTACACCTTTAATGAAACCGTTTTAGAGTCGGTGGTCATAAAAAAAATTATTAGTTGCAGTCAAGGTTTGAGAGATGTTGAATCATCGGTTTTGATTTTACAAACCACAAATCAAAACCCTGAAGAGCCCTTACCTCTTTATATAGCAGGTGCTCGTAATGCAGTTTTCTGCAGAAATGCTGAGGATGATGTTTCCAAAGTTATACTGGCCGAAAATTTTCGTGGTGTAAAACGCATATTTAGCTTGGAAAATTACATGTAAATATATATTTATATATTCATGTTGAAGAAACTAATATCGTCTAAAATGTTATTTCAGTTTGGTTCTAACATTCTCAGGACATTTATTAGAATTCTGTCCTATAACAAAACTTCTAAAATATCCCAAAACGGAAAAGGAACAGGAACTACTAATTGAGGATCTTATAGTCATGGAGAACAGCGACGAAAATATTGATTTGCTTGTCTTGGCAAAAACCATGGAAGATGGAAGCGAACACCTGGTAAAATTCGTGGAATATCCGTGTAAGCGAATTCGAAACAAAAATTTAATATTTTGTCTATGAATGTTATAAAACGTTCCGACTCACTCAGAAACCAAACATCTTATATGTTACTATTCGCTTAACAGCTTTTAAATGCAATGGCGAACTGGAAGTATCTGAGAACGCATGGCTTGTTCAACAGCCCAAAAGTTCCGCTAATTTGTATTATCTTAGTGGAAGAGAATTGAATGAAATTAACTATCCAACCGCAATAGAAATGGTTTTGGTCTCGGAAACGCATCCAAGCGAACGGTTTAAGAAACTCATTTCAAAAGGGCTTTTGGAAGAAGCTGAGGTTAGCATCTATAAATGTAAATGATTATTCGATAACAACAATTCAAGTTCTTTACCTAATTTCAGATTTTCGGCAGGCAATTTGAATTATGTTTGCAACCAATTTATGAAGCAAAAGCGAAAAAGTTATTATTAACATTAACAACTCTCAGCGAGGTAAATACTATTACAATTATTTTTATTATTAGTAAATACAGTAATTTTTTTTTTAATATATCACAGAATAATCCGGAATTGTTAGAAAAAACCTTCCAGCAGCTACTCGATATAATAAAAAATATAGAAAGCAGTGACTTTTTTAGGAATAATCGCATGATTAATATGCCCTCACGTCATACATTGGAGCGTTATTTGCAAGAAATGCTAAAACATTTGAAAGAAGAAGTAATTATATAATATTATTCACCGCAATTGTCCATTATTTTACTTAATTTCCTCACTTGCAGAATGATGAAATGCACATTTTAGAGATAAACGAACAATTACGTCGTTTGGAAACACTTGCAATTATTGATCCCTATGAAGTCAATACGGAATGGTCGAAATTTGTTTATCATACCAATCTTGCACAGAAGATAGTGTCATTATTTAAGACAAATATGCCTGCGGCTTGTTTAATTTGGAAACGGCATACAAGCGCTATAATAACACATTTGAATGAAAAGGAGATATGTCAACTGCCCGCCTTGATACCCAATCATACAGAACCATTTCACATTGTGCAATGGTTACGTCAATTTGTGCCCACCATCAGCAAAACACATCCCAAGTTAACGCCATACCTTGCTGAATGGAGTATACAAAAAACTCGCGCATTACAATACGCCGAGCATTGGCCAGAGATCGGTTTAGAATTCGCTAGTAAAGTAGCGGAAGTGTTCGAACAAATACAATTTATGTATTGGTAAGTATGCAAACAAAAAATTTGAACTTAATTGACTTCACTTTCCACTCTAAGCGATGTTCGAAGACAACATGAACGCAACATTACAAAATTGCGCGATTTGGTGAATGCATTGGAGGATTTGTCGGTTTTAAAAAAACGTTATAATGTAATATTCACATTGGATCATTATTTGAAAGACTCAATTGACGAAACAGCGCTTCTAATATTACAACGCGTACATTTGGATAATTTGAAAAGTCTAGTTAATGATTTTCTCTATCCCATCTTTCAAGAGAAAGGTCAAACACCCGTGGAAGCAATACGTCAATATATCTCACTCTTGGTATTGAATCGTAATTCGCTGAGTACTTGGCTGGAACGCTCAGTAGCTTGCATTGAATTACTGCACAATGAGGATGATAGATTAGAGTGCGCACTACTCGTTCTGAAAGTAAGAGAACTTCTTTTATTATGATTTTGTAAAATTAATTAAGTTTTTAGATGCTTTTTCAGTTCATTCTTTTGTTGAATGGATTTTCGTTTTTAGTTTAATTTTTATATTTTATTTCGACTTTCCAGAATGCTCCAGTCCCATGGCCTGAAGTGGTTAGTCCTCTGTTAAAACTACGCTACTCTACACATCCGATTGCGGAAAAAATTAACACGGAATATGAATTTCAAGTTATAAAAAATATGAGAGGAAAATATGGCTGGCCAGCAGATAGTGATATAATAAATAATATGGAGCTTTTTATGTTCCGCGTTTGCAAGCTGCAACTGCCGGATATGTTGGATGATGTACGCATTTTGATCAAGGCCGCACCGGAAATAGCAGTAACTGCCAACGCCAATTGTTGTTATCAATTGGTGCGTAAAAAGAAACCTGAGCTTGCGTACGAATATTTCAAATCACTAAGTAATGAAAAGAACGACAAAACACGCATAACGGTAATTGATATATTAATGGTAAGTATAAAATTCCAAAAAAAAAAAATGTCCTCCTTTTATTTTCACTCTGTCATCGCAAAAGGACATGCTCGAGGAACCCACAACAACAATGAACGATGAAGCAATTGAGGAAGAAAAAAATTTGATAGAGTTTCTCAAATTAATTGTGCCACATGCTAAATGCCAAAGTCTTGAAAAACGCTTACGCATCATACAACAACGATTTGTGCTCTGCCACAAGTTCCGTTTAAAGGTAAGCTCTGCCAGTGAGTTGGTGGCTCAAACCCAACGTTTACAGTTACTCGATCGTGGCATTGAGTGCATAATGGATCGTAGTCAAGCAACGGTTAATGTACCACGTTTTATCGTCAGCGAAGTAGGCGAGTTATGCGCTGCGCTGCAATTGGAAAAAGTTTATGGGGTATTGCAAATAAGTCGGCGCATACACTGCTTGCCACTGACAAGCGCCTTAGCGTATGCCGTACTACAACTTGTCGATTGTACGAAAGAGAATAAAGATGATTTCATTGGCTTGGCCTTAGAGTTGCTAACACAGCAGATCTTGGCATTGCGCAATAGTAAAGGTATGTGCAATGGAAGTCATATTTTTGCTTATTACAATTACAACGTAATTAAATTATAAATACCTTCTCTTCTAATTAGGCGCCATCGCCATAAACGCACCAGAAGAAAATGCCGATGTACTTGCATTTCCCTTAGTATCGGAATTACTAATGAAAGCCTCACTAAAAGATATTCGTAAATTGTGTGAATTATCAGAACTTTTGAAGTATGTACAATTAGCCGCCAACAGCTATGCAGTCGATGCTTTAGAAAATCTCTATGTGGAAAGAGAGCGTGAAGTCAATGAGAATATATGCAAGTCTTTGGATATTGCTGAAATTACGCTCGCAGATACGACACTCAATTTCTCAGCAGCGCATATGAATGGTTCATTTAATGACAAACAGCAGGAGATAGCAAGGAAACGTTATTCCGTTTCGGTTTTTGATCAAATCGATGTGCAACTTGAGCAACCGCATAAAAAGGTCGGCTAACATCCTACTTTTTTACACACATATATCTGATAGGTATAATTTTCTATAAACTCTTACAGAGTAACAACATAGAGCTTACTTCGGTTATGAAATTTGTCGCGCGTAGTATTCTGCTACTGATAACGGAAACTAAACCCACCAACAGCATGCTGTTGCAATTGCGCACAATGTTGGGTGATGACATTGAAAAGGATGCGGTTGTGGACGATTTCTTCAATTCTCTGGAACAACTCGCGAAAGCCAAAATGCATGATATTTGGTATGTCATGGTGCAGTATATTTTGGATTATCAAAAACTTCACGGGTTCAATGTTATTAGCACTGATTTTGTGTCATATCATTTGTCACGCGTCTTTAAGAATGTTATGTTGAATAGGGATGTTAATTTTATAGGTATGAAATCAAAGAGTTTTATGGGGTATACATATATACATATATTTTTAATTATATTTACATACTAACAGATCTTTTTGTGATGCTCATCGCGGATAAAAATAAGGAGTCTATACTGGACATGTTGAGCAAAGATTTAAAGACCGATCAGCAGCGTTTGAACTTATTAACACTTTCAGAAATGTATAACGTACATCTCAGTGCACACAGTCAAGTGGAGGAAATACGTAATAAGTGAGCAAATCTTAAAAAATATTTTTATTGTAAAAAATCACAAATCTCTTTTTACCCTTTAGACGTTTAAAGCAATTCTATTACATGGAATTGTGCAAACTAGATTCCAGCATAAAAGGAAAATTTAACGTAGAAACCGATAATATACAGAATCTGTTAAAAATATTTCACAATAAGGAATTGGATGTGAAATGGTTAGAGCGTATGAGTCGTGACTTCAATTTGGATTATCAGCAAATGCTTATAACACAGGTATAACGTCCAGAACTTTCTCAAAAAAGCAACTAGAAATAAATACCGCATGAAAACCCTCTTGTAGGTAACAAGCATTTTAGTTGGTCAAGAGCTTAAATATGAAGTACAAACCGATGCTTTTGCCGAGGAAGAACTTGTTGTGCTAAGCACTGTCAGTGATATACGAAATTTGTGTCAACCCTATCTGCACGCTATAAAAAATGTTGACTTGTTAACAACTAAGTTGTTGCAATTAATTGATGAGGTGATTTAACTAACTAAATGCATAAATGACATTTGAAAATAATAATAATAATTAATACATAAAATAATGTATTTCCCAGATCAACATCTATTTCTACGAACTCTATTTATATATAATAGAATTACTAGCGTTTTTCGACAAAATGCCTAAAGAAATGGAAATTTGGCGAAGAATATTGCAATTCCTTCAGCACAAAATGATAAAACGTCGTCGCAACCGTCCCGGCCCGCTAGAAACCGACATGTGGTTGCATTCGCAAAGTGAGATGGGCGTAATGCCAAAAATTGCACGCTTCCGTTTGCCATTCAAACCACTTATAGAACAGCCGTTGAAAGATATTTTAGGTAATTGGGATTTTTTTTTAAACTTTGGCTTCACTCGAGCTCAGCTCTTCCATACATGCCATTTGAAAAATTAAATTAATTAATTTTATTTTATTTCATATCGCATTTGTTTATTTTTTTAGGTTATTTTTATTTTTTATCATAAAAATAACTGTAAATTTTTTTTAATATATTTTCATTTATTTTTATTAATTTATTGTGTCTTTTTAATATTAGTTTTATTTTTATTTTTATTTTTATTCGACTTTAAGTTTATTTAATTTTATAATTTCCTTTACGTTTTTTATATAACTTTCCTAGCATATATAACTTTTTTTTTAATTTTGATATCGCTCTTCTTAGATAACGAATTGAGTGTGGATAATTGTGAAAGTTGGTTTCCACTAATGCAGACGCATACAATGCTTAAAGGGTCAACTGATGTGGCCAAAGTGCGCGATTACTTGTGCATGTCCGCGGTGAAGAACTCAATTTCTGAATATAAAGCTAAAAATGAGTCCGAAACATGGCATTTACAACCAACAAATAATGCATTCCTTCAATCGGTGAATGACTAATTCAAATATTCAAATGTTTGCATATTAACATTTTACATTCATTTTACATTCCCATAGATTCTCCGCCTCGTTAAACATGTCACTAATCCATCGAAAGTATTTATGATACTCTATTTTGTTGCAAATTATGCACCGGATGGTGCAGATCAGGTGGAAGCTTCGTATGAATGTTATAAATACGCATTGGAGCATGGCGATGTTATTACTAATGAAAAGTACCAGGATCAATTAATCAAAATCAAGCGAAAGTATCCGATACTAAAGACACAACATTTGCTCTACATTTATGGTCTCACAGATGATAAGCTGCTACAGTTAGCTGAGGCTCCAAAAGAACTTATTTACAATCTTTATCATCACGAGCTAATTTTGAAATCCAGCAAGTCGGATATACATACGGTAGCGAAAGAAATTGCTCAATTGCATAATTTAAATTTGGAAACAATGCAACTTCAATTGCTGCAAAAATGGTTGTCCTTCAGTACAGATAGTGGAAATCAAAATATGTTGGAAGAGACGTTTTTAGATGATCACAATCCTGACGAACTGAATGTAAAGAATGAGGGCAATGCAGCCGAAAATATTACAAGGTAAATAATAAATCTCTTTTTAATTTATAATTTGATTTAATATCCTGCCATAACGCTGTTCTGTTCCTTATATTTAGGGCTAATTATATACTCAATAGCTGGCCCACAAAACAGGCCATAGATTTTTTGGTTTCACATATTTTTCCAGCGGATGGGTAAGTGTTATATTTTGCCTATAATATCAATTAGAATTCAATGTGTAAACAAAATGTTTATTTGCTTGTATGTTTGTAGAAGCGTGAGCACTAGCAAACAGTTGCAAATGTACGAATGTTTTTCGAAACTAAATGATGGCAGCGAATCCTTCAAAAGCGTCCTTAGTCAAAAACAGTATATCACCATTAAATGTGTGCACGAATTGAAACAATTGGGTTATAATTTGAGCTTGGAGAAATTTACAAGTTGTAATAAAATCGATATATTAAAGACGATTTGGCAACGTAATGCCCAGAATCCACACACACTAGAAATATTGGCAAATATATGCCTTGGCTTCGACATATACCATTCTAAAATCTGGAATGGCATATTGAAGCGTATGGCAATGTTCAATATGGTGCGTGAGTTGAACGCACTGGTCGATGTATTATCATGTGAACCCAAGGTTCTATACACGGAAGGTCTACAAGTTGCGTGGGAATGTGTGCTATGGCAGCCATTTAAAGCTGCCAGCCAAGTGCGCTCATTTGAACAGGAGGAAACTTTGCAAAAGGCGCTATTTCGCTTACAGGTGAGTTCGAATAATACAAAATTTTCACAATCACATAGATGCGTTTGTAAAAAAACAAAAACTATTATTTTTTTTATATCTTTACTAGAGCTGCCCCATCGTGCACAAGCTAAACTTAATTGAATTAGCTGAGCTATGTATAAATTTAGAGCGTCCGCATATGGCAGCTGTCGCAATGGCTTTATGTCGCGATGAGCTAAAACGGGAAGAAATTAAAAAAGTTAGTATATTAATTGTTCTGAAAATTTGTTATCAAATTCTTATTATTATTTTTTATTTAAATAGCTAATTTTACCTAAAAAGAGCGAGCAAATGGCAAAGGATATTCTGGAGTTGGAAGATGCTGGACTGCTTTCTGTGATACTAAGCTTTGCACAGAAGGAGCTGGGACTTTAGATATAAAGATGATATTTTTTAACAAGGAAATTTTGAATTTATATCAATGAATTACGTAATATAAATATGTAAATAGAGCTGAATTAAAGTCAGTAACTTTTTTTTTCAAAATGGTTTCATGTTTTAAAAACATCAAGAGATTCTTATGCTCTAGTTCATAGATTATAACATTTAACAACATTTTAGCTGGTATACAATTTAATTTTATTTCATTCATAATAGTTTTCATTCAAAATTAGTAAGTAAACGTTTTCGTGACCGTCCAAATTAACACTTGAAAATGACGAATGATCCCAAGCTCTTTTTAAATGGGAAGGTAGTGGTTGTTAATGTTTTTGTAGCGGCTTCCCGATCCCGCTTAGGAGCAGGCTGGATTAGTCTAAGTCATTGAGGTCATCTAACGGGAGGTCAAGGAAACGAGCTGTTTCGACGGGTTCGGACCAAAGGAAAAGGGGCGTTAGATTAGTTGGTTTAAGCAAAGAGGTGGTTAGTGTTGAGCGCAAAAAAGGAAAAGGGAGGTCAGATTAGTTGGCTTTAGGGTCACGCAAAGAGGTGGTTAGCGTTGTGCGTTAACTCACTGCAAGCTGGACATACGTTTGGTAAGTCGGGGTCAAGTCTGGATAAGTAGGAGTTTAATCTACAATATTCACTTCTAAGTTGTGGCAGTCTCGAGGCAGCTCAAGCTCGAGTGGTTTGATTCCAATAATGCCGTTCGCATCAAAAGGGCTCAAGACGGTGTTGACGGACTCTCAGTGAATGTTTTTTCGGTGTGTCAATCATGAAGATGATGAATGAAGAACAGCCGGGTCCCGGATGGCCCAAAATGGTTTATGGACAATCCTTGGTAAAATTGGTTTCAAAGCTAAAACCAAAAATAATAATTAATTTTCTTCTTGCGCAATTAACTGTGTCCTATAGGAAGCCTGTTAGGTTTTATAAATCGATTGTATACGACTATCGATAGTGCCAAATCCGAATGCAATTCAAATGACAAATAATCAGCTGTTTCAAAATAAACAATTGATTGTCAAAAGTTTGTTTTAGTAAGTACGCCGATTTGCCTCACACAAAATACAAATATTTCGTTAATTGGATAGCCCTTCAAACTCTCCAATGTACTGTGGGCCATTGAAAAGTGATAAGCAAAACCCAAAATAATGGACCGTTGTCCTGGGCAATATTGCGGGCGGACTTTATTTGAAAACGGTAGTTGGTCCGAATGTGGAGCATGCGAGCGTGGCTATCGTGTAAATGAATCTTACATTTGCTCACTCTGCCAAGATGAATTGAATATTTATTCATGGCTTTATCTTGGCTTTATGGCAATGTTGCCACTAATGCTACATTGTTTTTTTATTGATCTTCACGCCAAGGATCGCAAGTAAGTATTTATATCAAATATAAAGTATGCACATAATATCCTTGATATATATTCCTTTAATAGGTTTTCAAGAAAGCAAATAATTCTCACCGTGTGCGCTTTCACAGAGATTACACTTTCAGCTATTATGGCCATACTGCTTATGGATCCAATGTGGGAATTCCGTTTGCAATCGTGTGGTGTGCGTAAATTTACTGATTGGTATACATTGTTTTATAATCCCAATCCAAACTATGAAACTCGTTTGCATTGCACTCAAGAAGCTGTGTACCCCCTGTAAGCTCGTAATATCTATAGATATGAATTAATAATCGTTTTTAACTAAGATATTATCTATATTCTTACAGACAAACTATTGTGCTCGTGTTCTACTTTCTATGCTTAGTAACAATGTTTTTAATACGTCCAATTGTTAGCTCCATCACTGATGTGCGCGGAAAAGACCCCATTTATGCAGCACTTTATTTCCTACCACTTTTGACATCCATTCACGCCCTTGCTTGCGGTTTAATTTGTAAGTTTTGACACTACCAAGAGAATTACTTTCGATAAAGTATTTTCTTCTTTTCAGATTGGTTTTTCCCCTATTTGAGTATTGGCATTTCTATGATAACAAATGCCATACATTATTCAGTCAAATTGGACCAAACATTTAAAGCTTTAATACGCTCGTCATTATTAGAAGTGAAAAATTTCGTAATAATTTGTAAGTAAACCTGCAAAATTAATACATGAACGCAAACAAGTTTTTTTTACAAATGTGCATTTAATATTATAGGTGTACATTGGCTTTTGCTGGCCTACGGTATTATCGCATTGGGTCATCATTATGCTTTTTTATGTCTTATACCATTCCCCTCGATATTTTATATTCTAACGGTACGATTCACGGATCCAGCCGAGTTTAGGGAAGTCGAAGCACGGCAAACTTAGTAAAATGTTTTCAATTCTTGAATTTATATTTATAAAATATTTGTTTTTAGGCTAACTATTTATGTTCCACAAATGTGTGTTTGTCAATATTTTTCAACATAAATCAAAAAGAAAATTATAAAAAAACTTATTCAATAAAAATAAAAAAAAAAACCGAATCCTTTTTGTCTACTGTATTTTGCTGGGTACATTTGACGTCTATGATTTTCCTGTCATTTTGCTGATCTAAAGGCCAAAAACAAAATAAATGTTTAAAAACTACTTAAATTTTCTTTTCATAAAATTTCATAACTTGGTTACTTTCAATTCAGGTACGTTAAATTCGTGCATAAGTTCTCTGATTTTATGCGAACGAATTTCACCACACTTTTTCCTGCCGACATACATCAAACTTGGCAACACTATTCAGCCATACTTTTATTTCCACTCCACAGTTGTTTCTCTTGCTGGCTGCAGTGATTTGGTGTGGTGTAAATATAGAACATTGCAATTGTATGGTCATTTTGACCAAGGTATTCTAAAAGAATATCAATCCGGTAATATATTTTTAGTGGATATTGGAATCATAATATTTATAAAAATATATTTGTACTGATCGGAACTGTGGTTAATAATTAAAATCTATCTTATCGGTGCCAGTGAAAAAAGCATTAAATTGGATGGGTGTGTAAGAGCGCTGCTCTTCGTCTGAATGGAAAATTTATTGCATGTATTTCCAATATTCGCATTGAAATGAGACAAATAGTGTGTACTAAAGTGCCAAATGATTTAATGGAATATTCGAATAATAAGTGCAAAATCGTGTACATACAAAACTTGTGACTGCAAAACAAAATTCAGCCAAAAGATAAACCTAATTTACTTTTAACTCGTTAATAAATTTGACCAATATTTTTTTTTGTGTTTAAAATAATCTTCGAAACGACTTTAGTTTGTATTGGGCCACAGAAAGTAAATAATAATGTCCTAAAATATTCGACTATCTTTGTATAATATAAAAACTTAATTTGTCCAAATACATATTGCCGTTTTCTCTAGTCTGATTTCTCCGAACTGTCTGCTAATTTGTTCAACATTTTCCAAGCTTGAAGTCTCATTTTGCACTGGTTGTTTGTCCTTTTCCCACCAAGGCGGCACCCAATAAGTGAATATAATTTTGCTAACTAGTCTCACTGTTTCAATTCCAACAACTACGTTATGTATTGTTGTTGTTCACAGGGTGACCATATTTAAATACGTACAATATGATTAATGCACTGCGGCGGCTAGTTAGCGAGACCGTTCTCTTCGGTGGGATTTTTTTATATGAAAAAAAAAAAATTATTGCAGAAACAATCTATATTTAAACTAGAGTGCGGTGTTTGTACAAAATTACGGAAAATATTGAAAAATTATAATTGATAAAAAATAATATTGTGTTGTCAGTGAAATTATAATAACAGATTATTTACACTAAAGCTATCCTGAAGTGTACGACATATAATGTTGTTTTAATTTTATTCTTACGTAGTTCTATTAAGAGTGAATTAGAAACAAACTGATTATATTTTTGTTTATAATCGGATAATAATCTACCATATTAAAGGTATACTGCCGAAAATTTGTTTTGTGATGCAATGAAATATCAGTGATTTGTGGGCAGATTCTTTTTGCACAAAAATATGTAAGGAATTGGGAAAAATTAAATACATGTGCAATCAATTCCAATGCAGAGCATCCAGATAAAAAACACTGCGGCCTGTAAATTGCAATAACTTTTTCTTCATAAATAGAGCCAAAAACCTTTTTACCCAATATCTCTAGCAGTCTATTCAGAGTGAATGTGTGCATGTGTGTGCCATAAAGAGTAATCCTAAAATATAATCCGTTGTGTATAAGCAAGCGAAAGCAAGTTTAATAAAATAAAATTTAAAGCAGTTTTTCATATAAGACACGTTTTTAATATAATTTTAATTTTTTTTTTATGATTATAATATATTTATTTATATGTTGCAACCGCTTACGTTTCTCTGAGTAAGAAAATCAATTAGGGATGAGATGCAAGTCAATGTGAAATTATATCGTCTATTTGTCCTACTCACAGAATATGTGTGGTGAATATAGATTTCGTAAAAATTTTAATAAAGTTGTATATGCATCTCACATTTGTTTGTTATATGTGTTTTCGCTAAATACTATAGTTTGCTCTCTTTAATTAAAATATAAAATAGTAGGGTAGGATTGGTCCAAAAAGAGATATTCGAACAATTGTTTCTCATTATAAAAAATATTTGTTTGATTAATTTTTAAATCAGAATAATCTCAATAAATGAAAAGATTTTTCATTAGATCATAAATCTTCAGCCTTTTTAGCTTGAAAAAATATTAAAAATTAACATACCCTCTGTGGGTAATGTGTGCACATAAAAAACGATATTGAAGCTTCAAACAGCTGATCCGTCCCTTAGGAAGTTCTTTGTTTGTCGATATCATTTGACAAAACTTGCATGGAAATATCATTTCATACTCCATTTTTAGGATATTTTGGATATTTTGAATAACATTAAAGAGTTTTGAAAAAAAACGAAAATAATGCACTTATGTATTCTTTCAGTTTAACTTATGCAAGTTAATGTGAATTTCCAATTTCATTTCTCAAATCTTGTTTTGGAAAAATTGTTTTACCGACATTTAAATGACAAAAACTAATATTTAAATCATTCTCTTATTAGCTTCACTGATAATATGTTAAAAAATATGTCAGCTGCTATCAGACAATAGTATTTAACTTCCCAAAATTTGTGTGATCGTTGAAAATAAAAATTATGATTACAACTAATCTCACTTTTTTTATAGGTCAAAACCAGGGAAGCACCAGTACGTTTGCAAGTGAAACTGGGCATTATTCGGAAAAATTGTTGAAACAAAGTGCGTGAATGAATTAAGTCAAACAAATAAAAAATCAAAATCGTAAAAAGTAAGAGAGTATTGAACCATATTTATATCGATAAAAAATGCGATTCATGACAAAAATAACTAATTAATGTCTCGGTTCGCTTGGGTCGTGTATTCATTAGTGCGTATGAAACGTTATCAAAATTATGTACTAAGAATGCTTTTTCAATAAATCGTATCGACAAGGTAAAAAGAAAAAAACATTAACTTAAAAAAGAAAATGTAAATGTAATTAAATGAAAAAAAAATAACTCAACATAAGCAAGAAGTGAAACTTCAATAGTTGTGTGAATGCTCTTTACAGAAGATAATACTACCGCTCTTTTGCTTTATGGGAAATAAATTCAGAAAAAAATTCAGCTAGCATAGTGCATTTTCTTTAAATTTTTACTCCATTGCAACTTATGGATAACGAAATATCGCTAAAAGTAAAATTTCATTAAAAATAACTAAAAATAAAAATATATGGTAATTTAGTGTAATCTAAATTTAATACATTTTAATACAAATCAATTATATTATGCATGCATTATGTGATTATGATGAAACTTCGACATTATTCAATGCCTACATATGTATATAGTATAATAAAAAAATATTCCGCCTTCGATAAATAAATCTATGTTGTATACACTGCTTGGTGACAATAAAAGCAAATACTTCATAGCTGTCCCGAGCTGAAAATCTATCAAATTAACTCAATTGCTCAATTGTAATTTTTTAAACATCAAAGCTTTTTTTCTTTCAACAATATTTGTGTGAATATTCAATTTCATCGCTACGAACAAAAAAACACAAAAAAAATTAACTCAAAAATATGCTAAAATAGTTACTACACGTTAAATATATGTATAACAAAATCTGTAAATCTGGGTGGTAAAATAATAGGATGCACATCAATTCCGAACACAATAAATTCTATTTAAATTAATCAAAAGAACACAATATATAAATTTACATATTGTATAGTCCAGTGAAAGAACAATCACAATCGATGATAAAAATAAAAGCAATAGAAAGAACATTCATCTCAGGCATTTCACTGAATCCGGTATGCAACTGATTACGTGTCACGAGCATAATCTACGCAATTGACTTCAACGATTCTTTAGATATAATTGACAACCGTTAAATGAAATAACGTATTTAAACAAATACATTTAGAATATTCGGTGCCCAAAGATTTGCGTGTTTCGGTATGTGAGTAAGAAGTGCGTGCGCGTGCGTGGGAGGACAAATACGGAGCATTACAATTTATCTTTGTTATTCCACGTCGTTAATAACAACTTAGTGTTTCGTAGTCGGTATATTTGAATTCTTTTTCACGTCAATCTTCAATTAAATTAGAAATTTCGTTAACATTTTTAATAAGCACTTTCTCGTTAACCAAGTACTTGGTTTCGCGGCTGTATTTGCAAGTTATTTGCAAAGCTATTCATAAAACTCTCCTGCACCAACACCAACGTTTTCGTTTGCCCGCAGCTAAGACCAGAAGTTACACAAGATTGCGACCACAGCAATAGAAATGCAAAGACGAGAAACTCGGGAAAGGCAGAGCTCGTGAGTAGAAGAATATATTTCTAATAAATCTTATGAAATATGTCTTAGAAACTTAAAGATAATAACTTAATATACAGTTAACATTTAAATAATATTTTTTTCCCTTTTTGATTAATTTTGTATAGGTATACATACTTATAATATGTATGTATGTAAAACTTAGTTGAAACTACTATAATTTTTAAATCAGCGTTTTGTATAACTGTGACTTTAACGATCTTTGGACTATACATTTATTGTAGGTACAATATACAATATAACCTTTTTGGTGTCTTATTTACATGAATTCTAGTTTTAACAAAATTTTAACTTTCTAATATGCCTTCTATGTCAGAAATTCCGTGCAAATCTCCTGAAATGCTTTGACAAGTTTCAAAGTAAATATCTTGTATACATGCCCCCCCTCGCGCCACACACCTTTGTAAAATGGCTTCGTTTGCTAGGAATGCGTATTCCATGATGCGCGTGTTAATGACTAGATTAGTGGCACAAAGTTATTTTTTTTCGTGTGTGATGTGGTGCAAGTGCACTGGCACACATTTATTCTTTTGTGTATAAAACTATCTGCATATATGTACTTACGTACATACATTGTATGTATAAATATGCATGCATACATACAAATTTAAGTGTTGAGCTTATCACAAATTGGTTTTTTTTGACTTGTTTTTCCAATCTGATTATATCTCACGTGTTGCGTTGGTTTTTACGTTCGTATATACCAACACATTTGCATACCGAAAATAGAAAAATCGAATTTCAAAGTAATGAGAGGAATCATCTGATGAAGTAAGTAAACATGTGCACAGATCATTCACGTAGATACATAATGTATGTATGTACATATGTAGGTAGGAACATACATGTATCTGAATTAATTCAGAAATCATTTTTGTTTTCTCTTCCATTTTAGAATCTCTCTTTATTTGGTGACGCTAATTTCACCATTTAAATTTATATATCTTTCTTGCTTTTATTTATTTTGTTTCTCTTAATTTAAGATTAATATTTTAAATAATTATTTGAAGTTAAAACAGTTTAT